CTGAATAGGCGAAACCCATATACAAAAAAGGCAACAGTGTGTCGATGCATAATTTATGTCCCACTCATAATTAAATGATGGTGCCTAGGGGATGGACTTAAAAAAAATTGATCTGTACTTTTCTTTTTCACCCAAAAGGATGTTCTATTTAAAAAAAACAAAAAGCCCAAAGTATTTTCAGCCAAGTATGCTTCCATTTAACATCCCAAGTCTGACTTTGGATTCGTATTAAACTCAAGCATCGGGAAGGGCAGGACAGAGGTGGGGATCCCCTTCCTCAATCTGCTGGCTTGGGGTGGGAGGATACACTGGAATTCAACACCTGCCCAGAGCATTTCTTTTAATTTTGAGACAGAGTCTAGCTGTGTAGCACAGGCTGGCCCTAAACCTGAGATCCTCCTGCCTCAGCCTCCTGAGTGCTGGGATTACAGATGTGTTCTAGTACACTCCAGTGTAGAGCTTCTCTGGGCTGGCTTCCCCTGCCCCCCATGGGTGTAAAATACGAAGCCTAAATAGTGCAAGGGCTCTCTTTCTGACAGCTCTTCCTTGACCCAAAGGCAGACTTATACTTCAGGGTTAGAGTAGAAGGGACCTTTTGGGGAATGCCCCACCTCCCCTTTCTTGCAGGCTATGGGCCAGAACTTGCTAGTCTCAGAACACAGGTGTAAGACACTGTTACCAGCCCCCACCCTCACAGAAATACAAATCCTGGAGGTGATGTAGGCCTGCAGAGACACCCCCCCCTTTCCCTCCACTCAGGGATGCTTTGAGCTGATGAGCCCTCAGGCCTCAACCCATCTGGGACTCAGCTCCAGGAAGCAGGTGGCTGCCCTAAGGCTAAAGGGCAGGGACTCTCCTTTATTGGAGCAGGAGACTGAGAGGGGAGTGCCTGGGGCCATGTGTGTGGGTTGAGGGGCTGGACACACCCTAGAGAGCAGAGCTGCTTTTGGCTCCTCCAGCTCACAGGCTGCGCACCCCTGAGGGCAGAGGCCCACCCCGTGGGATAAACTGAGTCCCTCCTGTGGTAGAAACCAGCCAGTAGAGCAGCAGAAAAGGAAAGCATTGTCAGTGAGGAAGACAGACCTCAGCACTGCTGACCCCTTTTTCTTCCCCTACAGGTCCTGGAGAGGCTGTTTCAGAGAGGTTTCAGTGTGGCTGCATCCTGTGGGGGTGGTGTAGACTCCTCCCAGTTCAGCGAGTATGTACTCTGTCGAGAGGAACGGCGACCGCAGCCCACCCCAACTGCGGTCCGGATAAAGCAGGAGCCCCTGGACTAAGCCCTGCCTCAGTTCCCCAACCTGAGGCCCTTCAGCCCTGAAACAGTGCTGAGGAGTTCCTGCCTGTTCGTGCTATGGGCATGAGACTGAGAATGAGACTGGAGCGTCTGAGCTCAGCCCAGGGAGCTCCAGGTGTCATGGCAGCAGAGCATAGGATGCCAGAGATATGCCCACTGTGGATGTGACCCAGAGATGCTATGGCTGCAACTCTGGTCCTGAGCCTGGCACAGCATCCTCTGCTGGGTCAGTCACTCCAGAGCAGCTGTCTGTCCCTCTCCACACCTGGCAGACTCTGGCAGGTCTCCATGCGCCCAAGATGGCTTATTTTTTTACAGTATTTAAAACAGAAGTACCTATCATTGCACAAGTCGGCAAGGCCGGTGAGGAACGTCGCTGCTTTACCTGGTGCTCAGTTCTCATTTGGATGTGCAGCGAGCCTCATGGTGGATGGGCTACTGGCATTTGGGCCCACGGGGGCTTGATAGGTTGGGGCTCGGGATAGATGTGGGGATGGCAGTGCAGGGGCAGGGCAGGCTGGGAGGAGGGCAGTCAGGGCTGAGTCGCTCTGTGACCTTTACCTGAGACATCTACCTTTGCTGCTGCCCAGGGCTCAGGCTGCACTTGGTATACACCTGACCTGCTAATGCCCAGGGTTTTCAGTCCCAGCTGACTGTGTGTGCTCATATTTGGGTTCTTGGAGAAGTCTCCGCCCATCCAACCAGCACAGGGCCACAGCTTATCTCAGGAATGGGCCCTGCTACCCTGGGACCTATCTATCAGCATCATCCTCTGGGTCCCCAGCTCAGGGAGCCACCCCCAGCTCCAATTTTCCCACACTTATGTGCACATCAAGTTTTAATAAAACTTAGTAAACTAGCCTGTCAGCAAGGCCCAGACCCAAGCTTACCTAGTGCTCTTGACCCCAGATTCCAACAAGGACTGGTCCTGAGACCTGCTGCCTCCCAGACTACAGGCCCAAAGATGGACACCCTGGCCTTGTGACATTCTCCCATGTGCTAGTTCCTCCCAACTGGAGGAACTGCAAAGAACTTGTGGGTGGGGTGCCTCAGCCGGCACCCCCTTGTGTATAACACCTGTAGACTTGTATATGACTCCTTTAATATTGTAAAGATGCCAACGTACAATTGTCGTGTGTTTGTGTAAACACATTATGCGTTCCCGGTTCATGCCATAAAGGACGCTATAAGCAAAGACTGAGGCTACATCTATGCAGAAGCTGTAACCACATTCCCTCTCTTGGTTCCTTGCAGGGAGGGTGGGTTCTCCCTGGGTTCTTGGAGGAGGAGCAGGGACTCGCTTGCTGCTGTTTATTATATTTGGGTGTTTGTTACTTTTGTGGGGTTGTACAGACTCTGAATTCTGAATCCCAGCCCCTAACCAGATACAAAACAGGTAAAGACAGGCAGAGGGGTTTTGAGGAGTTTGAACCCAGGCTTAAAGATAGTTGGAATTCATCTTTTTTTTTTTTAATTATTTTATGTGTATGGGTGTATTACCTGCATGTATGTAAGTGCACCCATGTCTTGCAGTGCCTTGTGGAGGACAGAAAAAGGCATTGGATCTTCTGGAATTGGAGTTATGGACGTTGTTAGCTGCCGTGTGGGTGCTTGGATTCTAACCCAGGTCTTCTACAAGAGCAGCCAGTGCTCTTAACCACTGAGCCATCTCTCCAGTCCTCCCCCTCCCTTTTTTTTGGGTCTTTTTAAAACAAGGTCTCCCTGTAGCCCCAGCTGTCCTGGAACTCACTATGTAGACCAGGCTCACAGAGATCCGCCTGCCTCTGCCTCCCAAGAGCTAGTACTCCAGGTGTGTGCCACCACACCTGACTTTTTTTGTTGTTGTTAAATCTTGCTATGTGTCCCAGACTGTCCTAGGACTCACTCTGTATCCCCAGCAGGGCTCAACTCCCTCCTCAGCCTCCCAAGTGCTGGGATTACAAGTGTATGTCACATCTAGTTTGTTCTCTTTAAAATTCCACCTGATGGTATAAGAAGGCATGGGATGGCCCAGGCCAACCAAGGGACAGAGCCATGCAGCCAGCATGCAAACTGGGTCCCAGATGTCACTTTCAAGAAGTCTGTGTATGTCCAGTGTTAGTGAGCCTGTTTGTGCTTTTCCTCAACGCCCTGTATGTTCAAACCCAAGAGGACCCTTTCTACATGCCTGCCAAGGGCCACCAGCCTCCACCTGCCTTGAGCTAGGGAATGCAGGCCAACAGCTTCAGGCTGAGGCCACTGAGACACCACCCCACTATACATTCTAATTTGCTGGACAAACTTGCTAGGCTTCTCCACTTAGCTGCGCCTTCAGCTGGCACATCTGCATTTTGGCATCAGGCGAGCAGCGAAGAGGAGGAGAAAGTGTTGTGTTTATTAGCAGGGAAGTCTTGTGAAAACAGTGAATGCTCTGTGTGTTTATGGATTTTTTTTCTGACATCATAACTAGCATGGGTCCTGATGGGTGGAGATCAGCACTCTGTGTAAACTGCAGCAGCTGGGCGTGGTGATACAGGCCTGTAATCCCAGCACTTGGGAGGTGGAAGCAAGATCAGTTTAAGATCATCTGTTCTCTGCTGTCTAGCCAAGTTTGAGGCCAACCTGGCCTTCATGAGACTGTCTTAAGAAAGAAAAGAGGAGAAAATGACTTAATAAAATCAAGAAACTCTATGAATTACGGGCCAGCCTGGTCTGCATAGCTAGTTCCAGGCCAGCCAGGGATACACAGACCAAAAAAAAGCTAATTTTATGTCAAGTGAAGAATTCCTAAATTTGTGGGAAAATGCTAAACTCCCATAGTGATGCTGTTACACTCATAAAATTTAAAAAATAATAAAATATTTTTAAAATAATAAAAATATTATTAGTCTCACTAGGTGTGGTGGTGCATGCCTTTAGTCGTAACACTTGGTAGGCAGAGACAGGCAGATCTCTGAGTTCAAGGCCAGCCTGGTCTACATAGTGAGTTCCAGGCCAGCTGGGGCCACAGGGAAATCCTGCCTCAAAAAGACCAAATGTCTCCATAAACAACCAGTACATACATATTTTCCATTATTTTTAAAAAATATTTATTATTTTTATTTTATGCATACAAGTGTATTGCCTGCATGTATGTGACTGCACTCCTGTTGTGCAATGCCGCGGAGGTTAGAAGAGGGCTTCAGATTCCCTTGGAACTGGAGTTAAGGATGGTTCATAGCCGCCCTATGAGTGCTGGGAATTGAACCTGGGCCCTCTGCAAGAGCAGTCAGTGCTCTTAACCACTGAACCATCTCTCCAGCCCATATTCTCCATTCTTTAAAGCGCAGAACAGGCATCTTACCAGCCATCTTTTGATGAGACATCATCAGTACTGCACTTCTTTTCTGTAAACCTCAGAGCTAAGCTAATTATTGTTTTTTGGTTTTTTGTCTTTTTTGAGACAGGGTCTCCCTGTAGCCACGGCCAGCCTGGAACTCCATATATAGACCAGGCTATCCTCAATCTCACCAAGATCTGCCTGCTTCAGTTTCCCGAGTGCTGGGATTAAAGGCTTATGCCACTTACACATTCCTTTTTTTTTCTTTTTAGTTACTCCTCGACTTTGTCCCTTAGACCGAATAAAGGATATTTTCTAAATTAGAGCTCCAGTGCTTTGTTTCTGTCCACTGGGGCAGCTGCCAGAGGCCCTCCAGCTTGCCAGCTCTTGAGTATGGATCCCATGTTCAAATCCCAAGCTCCAGCGCACACCAGTGCCCTCAGCAGCTATGTAGTCCCCCATTACTCAGCATGTACCCTGCTAACAGGTGTGCACATGAGTCATAGGGCCTCTGTCACCTCTTCCAGACCCCAGGGTTCAGGATACGGTGGGTCTTTTACATGATGTTATGGTTTGAATGTGGTCACTTCACCCAGCCAGGCATTTGAACAGTTGATCTCAGATGGTTGCACTGTTTGGAGAGTTTGTAGAGCTATAGGGACATGATGCTTAGCTGGCTGATGTAGGCACCAGGGGTGGGTCTTGAAGGTGATACCTGCTCTGGTTCTGACCTGAATTTGCTTTCTGTTTCTTGATCAGCATCATGTACTAAGCCTTGCCATAAGCTCTCATTCTCCTAGCTGCTGTGCCTTCCTCGCCAGAATGGACTGCACCCTCCAAACTGTGTGCCAAAATTCCTTAAGTTGTTCCCATTACGTATTTGGTCATAGTAATGGAAAAATTAACACAGCCAGTAACACAGCCACTTGATGTGGACCAAGCCACTAACACATTCCCAAAATAGGGGTAGAGCCAGGCATGGTGGAACATGGTTTTAATCCCAGCACTTGGGAGGCAAAGGCAGGCAGATCTTTGAGAGATGGAGGCCAGCCTGGTCTACATGGCAAGTTCTAGGCTAGCTGGGGCTACAGAGAGGCCTTGTCTCAAAAAGACCAAAAACAAGACAAAGTGGGGGCACATATTCCATGAAGCCCCCAACCAAGAGAAGACTGGAACTTGGCCCCCAACAGAGCCTCCTCCCTTTCCCTGCTCTCCCGGGAGAATTCTGGCAGCTAAGCTGGTCCCAACTCATCACACCCTGTCCTCTCTGACTCTGGAGACAGGTGAATACTTGCAGTGGCCCAGAAGGATACTTCATCCAGTTCACACAAGATGGAGGTTTCTTCTAAGTAGGTAGAACATACAAAGACAGGAGTCAACAGGTGATTTCCATGACATTTGGCACCAAATAATACAGGGTTCTAGACAGAGCTAGAGGGGCAACTGATGGCCAGAGAGGGCAGTTCTGGGCCTGGAGCCTGACACTGGGGCTGATAGGGGTGCTGCATAAGTGTAATACCCCAGTGTGATGGTCATAACTTCAGGTGGTTTTTTTTTGTTGTTTTTGGTTTTGGTCTTTTTGAGACAGGGTCACCTGTAGCCCCAGCTGCTGACCTGGAACTCACTATGTAGACCAGGCTGGCCTTAAACTCACAGAAATCCACCTGCCTCTGCCTCTCAAGTGCTGGGATTAAAGGTGTACACCACCACGCCCAGCCTTCAGCTGGTTTTAAGGTAGATGGGTAAAGGTATTTAGTCACAAAGCTCAGGCAGTTGGATAATACTGTCTTAATTTCTTTTCCTGGTGCTGTGAAAAACCACTCTGGCAAAAGTAACTTAAGGGAGAAAGGGTTTCTTTCGGCTCACAGTTCACGGTTACAGTCCCTCATGTTGAGAGAGTCACGGCAGCAGCACCTAGAGGGAGCTGCTCACATTGAATCTCTTACCATAGAAGCCAATGAATGCAGGCAGGCCATGCTCTACTCTCTCCTTTTCATTCAGATCAGGGACCAGCCCATGAAATGGTGCTGCCCACACCAACAGTGGGTCTTCCCACTTCAATTAACCTGATTAAGAAGTTCCTCACAAGCCAGGTGTGGCGGCGCACGACTTCAGTCCCAGCACTCGGGAGGCAGAGGCAGGCAGATCTCTGTGTGTTCAGGGCCAGCCTGGTCTACATAGCAAGTTCCAGGTCAGGAACTCCAGACAGGGAGATGCTGTCTCAAAAAAAAAAAAAAAAAAAAAAAAAAAATTTCCTTGCAGGCATGCCCACAGGACAATCTAATCAAGACAATTCCTCATTAAGACTCACCTGATGGCTTGCCACTGGTACACTTACATACATGCAGGCAATACTTCTACACATAAAAATAAAATAATAAATAGAATTTTTTAAAAAAAAGAGACTCACCTGATGATTCTAGACCAGGTCAAGTTGGCAAATAAAACTAACCATCATGGGGCTGGAGAGATGGCTCAGTGGTTAAGAGCACTGGCTACTCTTGCAGAGGACCCAAGTTTGTTCCCAGCACCCACATGTCTGCTAACAACAGTCAGTAACTCCAGTTCCAAGGGCTCTGATGCCCTCTTCTGATCTCTTTGGTAATTGCACGCACTGGTGTACTCACATACATGTAGGCATAACACTCAGACACATAAAAATAATTCCAAAAAAAAAAATTAAAACAAAAACTCTGTCATGTTGGTCTTGTCTCACATGTGACATGTGATGACATGATCAGCTCTCCTACCTACCATTCCTTTGTAGAGAGAGGGCTTGGCCCACCTCATTGCCACAAGTTCTATAAACGTATGTCCTTTAAAATTTTTGTAAAAGGGTTGAGATGGTGGTACATATTCTTAATCACAGCACTCAGGACGCAGAGGCAGACATATCT